CCGTTTAATATATGGGAGATGGCTGTCGCAATGAATAGGAGAAAAGACACTGCACCAGGAATAGATAATATTCATTACGTTATGTTATCTGAATTACCAAATATAGGTAAGGAAGTGCTATTAAAATTAATCAATAAGTACTGGTTGGATACACAAATAGTTAGAGACTGGAATAAATATAATATAATTCTCTTTAAAAAGACAAATGGAAATGCAGATAATACAGATAATTACAGACCTATATCACTAGCATCGTGTGTTGCTAAAACCAAAGATTTAATGATAAAGAGAAGATTGGAGTGGTTTGTAGAGAAAAATAAAATATTATCTAAAAGTCAATACGGATTCAGAAGAGGGCTGAGTACGAAGGATAATTTATGTAAATTAATGGTTGATATTAATTTGGCATTTTCAAGAAATAATTATGTGGTGGCACTCTTTTGCGATATTAAAGGGGCATATGATAATGTCGTTCCAAGTATAATGTTCCAAGAATTAATTAAAATAGGATTACCATTCCGATTGGTGTCAGCCTTAACATTTAATATATATGAAAGAAATATAATAGTGAAGAAAGATAACAAAATAATTGGTGAAAGAGTAGTGAATAAAGGACTACCACAAGGAGGTATACTTAGCCCATTATTGTATGCTATATATGTAAGAGATATAGATAATATTTGGGTAAGAGGTACTAATATTATACAATATGCCGATGACATACTCATTTATGTAGAACAAAGGGATTTAAATCTAGCGTTTAATATTATGAAGGAAAATATTAAAAAACTTCATGGATGGTTGAGGGATAAAGGCTTGGAACTTTCGGATGAGAAAAGCTCGATAGGGGTATTCACAAGACATAGGTTGAATGATTTACCAACTCATATTAGTACGGAAGAGCATTCAATAGCGGTTAAAAATAGTAATAAATTTTTAGGAGTCAAGTTGGATCAAAAATTGAAATTTAAAGAATGTATACAAGATATTAAAAAGAAAATAGAAAAAAGGATAAACCTATTAAGAGTGGTGAACAAAACATGGTGGGGTGCTCATCCACAAACGAGTTTAGAGCTATATAAAACTTTGATTAGACCAATTTTAGATTATGGTAGCATTGCTTATCACAGTAGTCCACATGTAAAGGTGTTGGATAAAGTACAATATAGATGTATCAGAATATGTATTGGCGCAATGAAATCCACGCCAATAAATGCAATGTTAGTTGAAAGTGGAGAATTACCTCTAAAACTAAGATGGAAATATTTAATCCATAAATATATTTATAAGAAGATATTAAGAAGAGAGCCAAATATTATTAGTGGATTAGAAGAATTGGAAAAATTAATGGAGAATAATAAATTTTGGGATAATAAGCAAAATATTATGGTAGACAGTTTGAATTTCATGAAGAAAACTAATGTTTATAAGATATATGAAAACCACGTTAATCTTAAAAAATTATGGTTTGATGAAGGTAAACAATTTTTTGTCAATATTAATAATGAAGAGACAAATATTATAAACAGTAGAGGATATGAGGAAATCTACACAGATGGCTCTAAAGTAAATAATGAAGTAGGGTGTGCCATGATCCATGAGAAGAAAGAATTTCAAAAATTGATAAAACTACCAGATTTTGTTTCAGTATATACTGCGGAATTAGTAGCTATAGGAGAAGCTGTAAAATATATTAAAAACTTGAACATAAGAAGAGCAATTGTATATACTGATTGTAAAAGTTGTGTAGAAAAATTAATAAGCATAAACAAAAAAAATCTTTTTGAGGAAGCAATTTATACAGAAATTCGAAGCGAGTTAGAAAATATAAAACTGATAGGAAATGAGATAAAAATTACGTGGATCAGAGGACATAATGGAATAGAGGGAAATGAAAAGGTGGATAAATTAGCAAAAATAGCAACGAAACAAGGAGAAAAAATGGACATTATGCTGAAAAGTGATGTGGAAAACATAAGTAAAAGAAATGTGGAAGAGGAATGGCAAAAAATTTGGGATGACACGGTAAAGGGAAAAACATATAAGACTATAGAGAATGAAATTAGAAAAAAAACTTGGTTTAAAAGTCTTAAAAATGAAGATAGAAAATTTGTAACTACGTTAAGTAGAATCAGATTAAACCATGGCAATTTTCCAAGTCACTTATATAAAATTGGTATTAGGTCTTCAGCTATCTGTGAATGTGGAGAAGAAGACGGAAATATAGAACATATTATTATGAAATGTAGCAGGTATATAAAACAACGAGAAGAAATGCTGGACAAATATTATGACGACAAAAGTATAATAAAACCAATTGCATGGATTTGCATAATAAGAAATGAAAGAAATTATAAAATATTATATGAATTTATTGTAAAATCTAAATTAGTTATATAATTTAATTTAGTAATAAGATGTTATGTATTTATCCTTAATGTATATTCATTATGTTTGTATATGACCAAATGTTATATAACGAAGTCAAATAAAAAAAAAAAAAAAAAAAAAAAAAAAAAAACATCTGCTAGCTATTTGTAATAAGTATTTGTTATCGAACAAGCATACCATTTCGAATTTCTAATAAAATTCGTCTCTATTAGAATCGAAGCACGCGATATCGTAGAATTTAGGTCGTGTCGTAGGTAAGGTAGTGCGTACTGCGATGTCTCTGTAGTCCCTGACTGTTTCAAGACTAATGCAAGAGTTGTTACTTGTTATGCAAATGCAACCGATGACAAACAAACAGGTAAATAATCGAAGATAAAAATATTATGATTATTTATTGATTGGATTGCACGGTATTGCGTTGTATATATAATACAATCATATTTATCATACAACCTTTTCAAAATATCTAATACTGAACAACAATATTATTAGGACTACCACAGGGCGGCCTGGTAACTTCTTTATATTAATCAAACAAATCACTAGATGTCATGTTTTTAGACAATTGTAATTATTAAATGAATGAATGAATGAATATAATTAGTAATTAGTAATTAATTAATAACCGTCCTACCCTAGGGCGAAGCACAAAGGTCCAATTTGATATTTTACCAAATCAGTAATTAAATTGTCTAAACCAAATGAACTACATAATAACACATTATGAATATCAAACAAATAATCGAACTATATACAGTAAAATTTCCATTTGAAATCCTAATTACAGAAATATGTTTTAAAATTGATCATCTGGTCCTTTTTGCTCCATAGGTGGAAGAAACGAAAGCTTCAGAGGGCAAAGAGATCCAATATCTCATTTTTAAATTTAAGGGGATTTTACGGAAAATAGCTACATTTTTTAACTAATGCAAAATATAAATTTTATGGGCACATTTTTACAAAGATTACACCGTATGTAACTTCGATCTGATATTTAAGCAGAAATACGAGTATTTATCAGCAGAGTTGGAATAACTATTAATTTACCTTAACTCTTGCAATTGCTTTTTTAAACTTAATTTACTTTTTTATTTACCATTTTCTTATTGTTTACATCTTTGCTAATGTAAAGGTTTAGTTGATTTTTTTTAAATTTTCGAACAGCAATCAGAACTTAATAGTCCTAAAAGCTGTTGTGCTGATTTGACTTAATATCAGTCTGTTCGACTGGTAATCCAAACAGTTATCACATATCTATATGATATATTATTATTACAATTTCTGTAATAGAACGAATATTTTTATTAGTGCAGCAATGCCCAATTAAGGCCTATTTTCACTTGGAAACATATTGCTATCTATATTTCCTAGTGAAAACTGTTGTCAATACTGCTCGACAACAGGCTGCTCGAAGTAGAATCGAACCCGGGACCTCTGATGTAAGTCCAATCGTTCTACCCGCTTACCTACGAGCGAGCAAGCTTTTATAAGGATTATATAAAAAAACTGATGCAATTTAAGAATTGAAATTTAAATAGACAATAGTCTTCGTAATTGAACACAAAATTCTGCCACTTAACCGTGACGAGCAGAGGCGGATACAAATTTATGGTGCCCGAGGGCACTAATAAAAATGCTGCCCTATCACTGCAATTTAGCCGCCCTCTCATCGATCAATGAAGTTTGTTCTCAAAAATACATGAATAAATTGAAAATATTTTTGATTTTTCAGAAAACATACATAAATTTAATAATTCCCAAAAATCAAATATTATCTTAAAATATCCTTATGGAAATAAATAAATTAATCTATTTTCATAGTTATTTCTCACAAATTTTCAAAATTATAATATACGTAGTTTTAATTTGATACATAAGGCATAAATTATATTTCTCGGGATAAAAAATGTTATTAAGAAGAATTAAGCCCTGTTCACACGACGCTTGTTTTGTGGGCTGAATAGCATACTTGATTTTGTCGCGCTAGATTTCATTATAGTTTTTTGAGCATTTTCGTAGATATATTTGTTCATTCGAAACAATAGAGAAGCAAGTATTTAGTCATGTGATTTATAATATTTGACAATCTAGCAAACTAAAACAAATCTCACTCAAAAATCTAACAAGCTAAAACAAATTACTCTCAAAAATCAAGCAAGCTAAAACAAATCACACTTAAAAATCAAGCATGCTATGTGGCCTGCCCAGGAAACAAATGTCGCGTGGTTTGAGCTTTTTTCATAGGTCTATATAAATCATATGAAAATCTCGCTTGCTGGAAACAAATCGAGATCGATACAACGTCATTTTGCCTACTTGATAACCAGCGTGCCAGCCGTCCGACCAAAAAAGCAACGAAACAAGCGTCGTATAGAATTAGTATACATATTTTTTTTTTACTTTCCAAATTTTGCCGCCCTAGAAAATTTTAGGCACTAGCCCCAAATGTTAATCTACTACCTCCAACTAATTAAGTTGATTATTTGGATATGTGGGGTAGGTCATGCAAGATGACTTAAGAATGCTACTTACATTTAGTAAGATATTGTGATCGTGTTTCGGAAAAGAAATAAGAAAATAATTTAGATAGATGATTATTTGTCACTTACTTATGCTCCTGTAGTACCCCCATAAGGGTAGCCCGACAGCTGTGCTGCCGACTGCAAAGCAGACAAACCCTAAGCAGGCGACACTTGTCGCGTACAACACTTTATTCGACATGGTTCACTCCGCATTATGCTTCACATACACTAAGATATCACAGTGACACTAACACTAAATAAAATTTAAAACCAGATAACACGTATTGCACATTGATTTATACAATAAGATTCCAACGAACGGAATCCGGATCGATAAAATTCAAGAATTCAAATACCTATCGCGACGAATGAGAAAAATTGATCTCACCGCGCGTTTATCGTTAGCAAAACCTATCGAATTTTCACATGATGGCTTCTTCGGAAAGTCTTGACGGCGATCGAGGTTCTATTTGTCACCAGCATGCGATCGTCACTGATTCTGCTGCGTCGTCCTCCTGAAAAATCAAACAGAAACCAACATTCAGATGATATTATTTATAAACGTATATCGGCTTAGAATCTGAACATGTTTTGCTGCTACTGCCACTGAAAATGCGCGATTTCTTATCGCGGTAAACGCAACTATCACAAGTTTAACGTCCGTGCAATAAATAACTTGATAGTCGAGCTTATAAAATACATATCCCTACGGCAGTAAATCGTAGAAAAAGGGTTGCGTCGGATAGCAGATCTAGTAAGTAAGATCTGAACACTCAAACATAAAAAATCATAATTTTCCAAGATTCTGTAATAATTAAAATAACACGAGCTTTCACGAATCAGCAAGTGCTCAACTCGCGGGCAGAGGTACCCAGCTCGAATCCCGGTATAGAAAGAATCCAAATAATAAAAAAAAACTTTGTGGATAACTCTAAAGGATGAGATATTAGTACAAGATTTAAACAAAAAATAAAGTAGTTGTGTATATCGTCATACTTCAAGGCAAATTGCTGGAACTTTCCGTAATAAAATATTCGAAGAATATTGAATGTTTTCAAATATATTTTTATAAATATCTTTCATCATTCGTATTTTACAGATAAAATATAAGAGCTTATAAATATAAATGGTCGATGACGTTTATATAAGTTTCTTTGCTTCATGTCTCCGAAATCCGTGCGCCCGAAATCTTGGACAAAAAATTATGAAACACACACACACATACATCAATTTTTTCTAAGGTATGCCAAAATGTTCAGTTTGTGACATGGAAAATAAATAAACAAAACTCAATTTAGAAAAAAGCGGATTTAGAATGAAGGATCTTATTTCATATTTCTAAGAATTATATAAACTCAATTAAAAAGGTGAAATTACTTATTTCACGTATATAAGCTTTATAATTTTAATATCAAAATTAAAATCCGAATTATTTTCGATATATCACATATCATTTTTTTAAATAAAAAAAAATATTTTGCTTTTCCCAAAAACAATCGTTTCGTCAATACAAGCCGAAGAATTATTGAATCATTCCAATCGGGTGCTTCGTTCTCTAAAAAAATACCATTTTTTGCACGTATCTCCAAAACGGTTGGACTTGTCTTTTTCAAAATCTAACTAACGCTTCTCTCCATTATTACGATTTAAATATTTTCTGAATAATTCAAATCGGATGGTCTGTTCTCTCAATAACTTCTATTTTCTGCACTCTATGCTCCGTATCTCCAAAAAGGCTGGAAATGTCTTTGTCAAAAACAAACGAGCACGTCTCCTTATCATTAGGAATCGAATGTTTTTTTTGAATATTTTCAATCAGTTGTTCCGTGCGCCCAAAATCGTGGACGAAAAATTGTGGATACACACGAATACATCCATTTTTTAAGGTATGCCAAAATGTTCGGAGACCTGTGAAAATTTTCGATTTTTGGATATTATAACTTACCCTACGAGAAGTTAATAACATAATAAAGTATTATAAATGTTAGAGTGAAAACCAATAAAAGAACACAATGTCTATGATTGGCAATAACAAAACCGTGAATATATTATCAAATTAAAACAATTATTAATTAGAAATTCACCATTAAAATTAAATTTTCTCTAGTGACATAAATCCTGATAATTATAATTTTAACGATGACAACGGCATCAATAACAGTATTAAATCTAACACATGATTTTTACATCGAGTCGGTACATCGGCAGATATAAATATATACGTAGGTGATCTCTGGGTACAGCGTACGATATTTAATTAATTGCTATTAAAATTCATGGTCGTTATATACATGCGAAGCATATCGTTGCAAACAACAAGCAATAGTGTTAGACATCGATAGATTATCGAACAATCGAAAAAAAATTAAAAAATATATATATTCATACATATTTCACCATCAAGTATTGAAAATTGAATTGTATTGTCTCATCATTCATAATATGATTCTGCAAATTCTGTATATCAAACAAGACAATATGCACTAAATGAGTAATTTCAAAAAAGACAAACATTTTAAATCAAAATTAAATAATTTTAGGCTAGAAAACCACGTGAGTTTGAAATAAACTAGATAATCCAAATCGGAATTCTTATGTCAGGAGAAAAGTGTATAAAGATGGTTGTATGAAACCAGGAAATTAAGTAAACTGGTCAGATTTACAATATTATGATTTGATAGTTATCAAAAAGTGAAAAAGCAGAACCAAGTTTGTTTATGCTCGGAGGGTATATGAAGATAAAAGCAGATTCTGCAAATCTTCTAAGGTCAACATTCCTTTCTTTATGAAGAATGGTCGAATGAATAGTCTTAAAGTGTGCCGAAAAAAGAATATGTTCATAGAATACTGTTTGTTAATTGTTTAGTTTTATTGGAATTATAAATATGTTGACTTAATGTATTAAAAATATATTGGCAACTTTTCCCAATATAGAAACAAACTCAATCATTACAATCTGCCTTGTAAACTAAATCAACAACTTTATGTATAGAAATTCTGGATTTCAAAACAAAAAGAAACTAAAAAATATTATCAAACACAACTAAAACATCTTAATATTTTATTGAAAAAAAAATGGAAGGAAATACCTAAACATGATCAAGGGTAAAAAAAATGAAAGAAAATATATTTAAGCTAGAATCATTTAGTAGAGGATTTTTTCAAAAAAATCTGACGCATTGGTTGTTAGATAATTAAATATGTTTTAATATCGAACAAAAAAACTCACGATCACTTAAAATATATAAATAAGAATAAATTTTGAGAAAATCGAAACGTGAATGAATTTTATTCAAAAATATTGTAACGAGTATGATGATTAATTGAATAAAAATATTAACTGTGTACAGACATTTTAGGAGGCTTAAAGAGAGAGAGTGGGTGAGATTGACAAAAAATCACAAAGTATCACGTAGGGGAGGGGGGGTCTAGTAAGATATCACGTGTATTTATTTTTTACCTCAATTTGAAAAAAACTGATTTTTTTCAAAAAAAAAAAAAATTGAAAAAATACGTTTTTTTCTAGATACTAAAAATATACGTAATGCGTCGGGAAGGGGTGGGGGTTATTTTAAATATCACTATAGAAATCGCTCACATAAAATGTACGCCCCCTTAGAATAAAAATAAATGTATATCACTAATAAAGTTCTAAACACGTTCGACATCCCATGCAAATTGCAACGGTCGGTCAAGCACTATAATCCCACGACGCTCTAATTTTTATAAAACATTTCTCGTTTCCCACATTTTATCAATAACAATAGTTTACAAAGCGATCGGATCTATAATTTACTCCCATGTACAAACAAAGCAATCTATTCCCGTAGATCGATCGATCGAAATCCATCTAATAAACGAGTAGTTTTGTTTGCATCTCGTAAACTCAGGTGCAACGGGCCACATTCAGAGCCAAAAAACTCAAATCTGCCGCGTTGTAGTTGACCGTGTACATTTTTTTCTTCTCTCGGATTATAACTGTTTATACTGTTATTAAGTAACGTAGACGTTGCTTGTACGGGAGCGAGAAAAAAATCGTAAGACACGAGCGTAGGTTGGTAAATGAGTGAGAAAATAAAATAGAGGTACTGATAAAAAATAAAAGAGCGATATTTTTCATACCAATTAGGTGAATTGATTTACAAGCATTCGTTGATAAATTTTATTATATACAAAGAGGAGCTATTGATCGCTGGGTTGCCCTCTCGAGGTTAGAATGTACCAGAGCAAACATAGCTCACAGAATATGTAGTTCTGATCTCTATTAAAAAATGTTTCGTATTTTCTGTAATTTGTAAAACAAAACTCCAAAGTTATTAAGCCAATAAGATTGATATAAAAGCTAGTCATCAGAATCGGATACCTACACCATAATCGAGAAGACTAAAAAAAATATGGCCAGATAACTTAATCTAGTGTAACTGCATCAAAAAGTACATACCCACTGGGGTAACTATTGTATATTATAAATGTCAACCAAATAGCTCTAGGAATATAACTAATGTTCTGATTGTTATTAAAAATAAAAAAAATAAAAAAATCAGTACTGAAGAATTTCTAATAGTATTCTATTAAAGATAGGTCAACTGTCTTATGAAGCCATCACAACAAGCTCATAGGACAATTAAATTCTGATTGAAAATTTTATAAGAGTCGTTTATTTTTTTTTTTGCATTCCAAAGACAAATAATTTGTTTCTTTATTCGCTTCGCAATAATATAATAAATTGCAATATTGTGAGCTGACCGCACAGTAGCAAGTGCGCAGCAAAGAATTACGTGGGCGGTTGATGTGGCTGATATATGCAGGAAAAAACAAATTGCTTTTGAACAATTAGCAATAAATAAAATTTACATGGACTAATTTCAGAAGCAGCAAGGACTTGCATCTCCAAATAAAAGAGCAAATCCTAAAATTGTGGTAACCGTTCCAATCTACGAATGCAAAACTTGAATAAACTACTGCTGAATTAAAAATTTATAATAAATCAACACGCGATTAAATAAATGTATGAACAAAAACATGAGTCAATGTACTTTTGTTAGTGAAGAATTCTCTATAAAAAAATTATTATTATTGTTATATATTGTCAGTTTTATTAGATAATCTTATAGAACCCCAAGACTGATTAATAATAATTACGTGAAAACCATCATACATTTAGTTTTCACACAAAATCATATGATTAACCATGTTCATGATCA